AAAGACAATATAAAAAGTGAAAAACAAACTGTCATCGACGCATTAAAGAAAAACCAAGCAGGTTTGACGGTAAAAAACCATGAAAAGATAGGTGTAAGAAAAAATGTAAGAATTAAAAGATCATCAAGAATACATGTCGTTTTCAAATGAAGTTTAGAAGTCACACCATAAAATGCTATATTAATAATTAATCCCGCAATGGCTGTAATACTTGATAATTGAGATATAATAGATGAATGTGAAACTTCATCATAATAAGTGCCAGTATGGCATTGAAATCTTATATCACCATTATCTGTTTTGCTTGTTGTTGGCGAATAAAATATGGCACCTAAATTTTGCTCTATACTTTCAAAATTAGGGATAATCCAAACGAAAAGGATGATTAAATATAAAATCGCCACAAAAATCACTATTATTGGTAGTATGGATAATAAAAACCGCATTTTCTTAGTACGTATTTATTACCGATATTATCAAAAAGATTTAAACTTGTACCGAAAAAAATCACAAATATATATATTATTTTTAACGATTGATTAATATTGTACATGTATAAAGTTCTTGTGTGCCCATAGATATGCATTTACATAAGCGAGAACACATACATATCAACCACTAGTACGTACATGAGTTTGCATATTATAATTTAACCTAAAATATAGTTGACAATAAGAGACAATGCATTACGCCATAATGCCAATGCAGTGTAAAAAGATTTTTCACCGTAGCGAATTTAACCCTGAAGAATTAAAATTACGAGTTGGCAATCGGCGGTGTTATGTGACGTACGTACGCAAATGACGAGTACGTAAATATACCGATACTATCAGTTATAAATGTGAGTGCTACCAAGGAAAAATGCCTCATTGGTTTTTAAAGTATATATCTGATATAAACAATAATTTACTTTAAAAATCGATGCTCCATTTTCCTTTTGCAGCACTCATCAAAATGACATATACTATTGAAACAACCAGTGCATGATAAATTACGTTATCATAAATCTTTTAGAGCTAAATTCGTATGCACGTACGTACGTACGTACGTACAAATGAATGCTTAAATTTTTGTTTACAGGTTTTCACAGTGTAGTATTCATAAAGATAAAAGTGTCTCTGAGTCAAAAGTTTTCAAAGAAGCCTGGAAATTGAGATACCTGTATTTTCATGAAATAACAGGCATAGGTGATATTTAGAAATCATAATCTCTAAAAATAGAGTGCATAGTTTCAAAATAATAATTGCATCTAATCACTAACCCCTTGTGTTCCTAATTACGTAATCGAATAATTTCTTGATTTAACAAATCTTTTTTTATTTTTAGACAAATTATAGCGGTTTGCAAAAAGGTGTGACCACTGCAGATCATAATGTCATGTAAAATCACGATAAATCAGCCGATTCTAGTAGATTTTTCGATTCTTAAAGAATTTTA